GGCTTCCCCTGCCCGCTGCCCCGGGTGAGGCTCCCTGCGATGCCTTCTCACCCCTCCTTCCCTCCCCCAGGAGGCAGCAGTATGTGGGCAAGCTCAAGTTCGCCTCCCTGGAGGCCTCGCAGGGCTCAAAGAAGCTCATTGTGGCCACCGAGAAGAACGTCGTGGCTGCGCTGAACTCCAGGAACGGCGAAATCCGTGAGTGAAGTGGGGCCTTAGGGCCCAACAGGCTTTTCTCCTGGGGCATCTGCTGATTGTAGTGGGCCTAGCACTTCATTTTCATACTGATAAATTAATATTGCTCAGACTGCTTTATCAGCTTGCAGCTCAAAAGCTTATCCCTTAGGACAGACAGATGCATGGGCTGCAGGAGCTTTTTGCTGCAGAAAACTCAGGTTTAAACCTAATAACAAATAAAAGCATTTGGGGGAGCGAATCTGTTTCTTACGTAACTCTTTGTTCCTTCAGTGTGGCGCCATGTAGATAAGGGAACTCCCGAAGGAGCAATAGATGCGATGCTGATCCACGGACAGGGTAAGAAGAACGTTACATGGCACGCTGGGGTTAGTAACTGTCCTTGCGTGTGGGATCCCAGCCACGAGTTGTCGGAGTAACCGTTAGGCTTGCCAAAGCTAAATGCCTCACTGATTTGTGGTGGATACAAGTCCTGTATTTATGTCCTTCTGATCGTTTTCTGTGCAGATGCCATCACTGTGTCCAATGGTGGGCGCATTCTCCGCTCGTGGGAGACCAACATTGGTGGGTTGAACTGGGAGACCTCACTGGACACCGGGTGCTGGTGGAGGAAGGAGAAGTTGTATTCTAGGGAAACGTTAGTTAGGTGTGACGTTTCTAAAATAAACATGGGTGAATACTATAGGAATCCCTGCAGCTTGCTGTCAGGCCTAATGCTGTTTCCACCCCTTGGCAACCAGGTAGGAGGAAGAGATACAAATCCTTTCATAGGTAGGTTTTCTCCCCCAGCGTACAACATATTAAACATGGAAGGTACCACTTTGATTTGAGGTGTTTGCATTCCAGCCTTCTCCTCTCTGTTCAAATCGCTAAGGATAGGTAAAGTGGACTATATATTTAAATTATAGTTTAAGTTTGCTGTTGAATGTTTGAAGAAGGTCTTTAAACAGGGTGAGTTCTTCATAAACATCATTTTCTAAGCTGCTGCCTCTGACCTGTGCTTAGTTTCCAGATGGCTAGTTTGGTGGGGCTACAGGACACAGTGAAATATGTGGCAGTCCTGAAGAAGGCAGCTGTCTCTCTTCACTACCTGTCCAATGGGCACCAGAAATGGGTAGAGCATCTACCAGAAAGGTAAGAAAATAGTGTAAGCAGAAGCTTCGGTTGCAGACATGGAACCCAATTTCTTGAGGAGGAGGGGATGCTGTGCTTCTCTTTTACTTAGGAAAACTAGTTTGGTACTAAGACAAATAAAGTTAGCAGTTACTTTCTGAAAGGGTAAGACAGAATTAAGAGAGAGAGGACTTCACGTGTTTTATGAGCATTGCCAATGGAGTGCTCTTTCCAAAGAAATGAAAGAGGTCCTCCTGTCTGAAACCAGAAACTATTTTGTGTTTAATTGTATAGAAAGGAATATTGGGGAGACTGTAAGAGAAGGGTGGAGGAATTCCCCACCTGTTATGTCTCTATCATCTTCACGTTTTTCACTGCAGAAAGCAGTGACTGAAGGTGAGATGTCCATAAAGCGTTTGTGTTGATAGGCAGAATGTTTCTTCTGGAACAAGCAAGTTAGAAGTTGAGTCAGTCTTTCCTCGCAAGACCCATGATAGAGTAATGTAAGTGTGATTTTGAGTGGCGATTGAAGACCGTTACTTTACAGCAGCTGCTTCTCTTGCAGTGAGAGTACTCAGTACCAGCTATTGTATTCCCGCGGGACTGGAGTGATCCACGTACTTGGAATTGTTCCTCAGAGCCACTTGAATGTTCTGACCTTCAGCGTAGAGGATGGAGAAATTACAAAACAGGTAGTCCTTGAGCATGGATTCAAAACGTTGGATTTGTTGCCAGCTTGACTTTGATGGTACTAGATGGCTGTGGTGTGATGTGCAGAGTAATTTGTTGTTGTTGTAGCGGAGACTAAACTTTCCTTTCCCTGTGGCATTACCTTTGGGTCAAGAAATAGATTTCCACTGCTGAATGCCCCGAAAGCAAAAGTTAGTCAGACTTGCATCTGGCAGAGTCAAGACTATCCTGGAAACCTCAGGCTAATAGACAGTTTATCCCAGGGTCATGGGTAAAAATACTTCTGACTTAAATATCTTGGTCACAGCCGTGTTGGTTCTTCAAAGTTTTTTCTGCTGTTGACAACTTCGCGTGTCTCTTGCTCAGCAGATCAGAATAGCAGCCCCGTGGCTGAAGAGCTTAAATGGAGCGTGCGGCGTGGTCGGGGAGGCAGTGCTGGTGTGCGTGGACATGGACGCGCACTCGCTCTATGTTTGCTCCTTGGAGACGGAGCAGGAGATGAAGCAGATCCCACTGCAGGTGAGCAGTGCTAACAGAGCATCGTAAGTAACTAATTGCCCAACTAAGCATGCCCAATGGATTGTCCCCAGAGCTTTGCTCCAGTGTTAGTCCAGGCCTCCTTGCTTCTGTTCCATGTTTATCCTCATATGGGCAGCGTCTTTATAAAGCATGCATTGCTGGCTATAAAAGGAAGGTACTGGGTTCACCAGAGAAAAAGTTTTGTTGAACGCATACGCTGATCTCCCTTTCTCAGTCGCTTGACCTGGAGTTTGCTGATGGCTTCCAACCCAGGATATTGGCCACTCAACCCAATCTCGTCAGTGCTTCGCGGACCCAGTTTTTCCTGCAGCTGTCTCCGAGCCACTTCTCCCTGCTGCAATACAGGCACGGGCTGCTCAGCCACCTTCGGGACTTCCAGCAGGTAACCAAGATAGATGCAGCTGCAGAACTCTTAACTGGGAGGGCTGACGACAGCTTAAGATTTTAGAAACAAACAGAAACCTTCCCTTATATTAAGCATGGTGAACAAGCTGCCGAGTTTCCCATTTCAATTGTGCTTTCTGCTGCAACATTTGAGAACCATTTGATTTCATTTATATTAGCTGTTAAAATAGTTTCAGACATCAGTTTAGGCATGCTTTGTGGCTAACAACTGTTAGCGTGGGGGGAAATCTAGGTTTGAGTTGGACAGAGACATGCATTTCTAAGAGACCAGTGGCATAGTAGTACTCTTGTTAGGCCAGCTGAGAAGTTTTGAAAGGTGAAAAAGCTTTAAAAAGCTCAGTAATACTAGAGGTTGTGGTTCAAAAGCTTGTGCAGGTCAACCATTTACTTCTTTGACAGAACTGTTTTTGGTCTTTTAAGAGGTGTAATTTCATCTTTGGTGAGACGATGAAATTTGAAATTTGGCTGTAGGGGATCAAACGTTGTTAACTTCATCAGGGCATACTTTCCTGCGCAGGTAGTTTTTTTGTTGTTTTTGTTGGCTTTATGCTTTCCTATTAAATTTTTTTCAGGCAGCTCTGGTGAGCTTTGCAACGACTGGGGAGAAAACTGTGGCTGCTGTCCTCACCTGCCGGAGTGAACTGGTGAATACAATTTGCTTGTACTATGTGACCAGCGCGGTTCTGTAATAGGGACATGCACTGGAGTCGGATTCCGCAAGAGTTTTCCTTCACAGGCCCGGGGATGTTTAGTAATTTCAAAAAGAGTAAGATTTAATTAGTTTCTCAGACATATGAAGACAAGGCAAGCAGACCTTGATCACATCCAGCTAAAGCTACTTCTAGCTTTGTGAAACGTGCTGTCCTGTATGTAGCCTGTTTTAGGCTTGTGTAATCTGCTTGTATGCAAGCCATGAATCAGCTTTACCTATCTAGGGAGGGTTTCCGTTCTTAGGAATATGGAACTTAGCAAGCTTTCATCTTTTTTGGAATTGTCTCTGGGCCTGTTTTTAGAGTCAAGTCTAGAGACAGAGCTTGCTGTGGTCAGGCACTCAAAACCCCATTTTTTTTCCATACCCCCCTCATTGTGCTCCCAAGCCATGTTATCTCTTCTCATCCTCACTGCAGAAATCCGGAAGTTCTGATGGCCTTCGTAGTGGAAATAATCTGGAGGATTCCCAAAAAAAGGTATAAAATGGGCTTGTTCCCAAGAACAGTAGAAATTCTTGATGATCAGTAGTCTGTTTTCTTCCTTCACATGCGGGAACATAATGAAAAAGGTATTACACCCTATTTTTGGAGGCTGATGTTTTGCACCACTTCCATATAACCAGTCTAAAAACATCTTAAACCTCTTGAAGCCACGGAGCTTGCTAAACATGAAACCTTCTTGTGGAATTTGATTTGGTGTGACACGTGTGTTTAACTTGTCTTTTTTCTCCATGACGTTGTAGGAATCCTTGACTTGTTCCAATCACACCTACAATATTAATCTCTACCTGGTTGAAACTGGACAAAGATTGTTGGACACCACAATTACCTTTAACCTGGATCAGAGTGGTGCCAAACCAGAGCAGGTGAGCAGGGATCTTATTTCAATCCTGTGGCTTATCAGCCTTGTACTGCTTTCCATAGCCCAATTTGGCAGGACTGGTAGAGCTCTTCAGACAAGGTGGAAGGCTTGCTGCTGATGTACTAGACTGGTGCATACGCTCATACTGTTCGTGCTGGTTTTACTTGTGAGGTCTGAGCGTTGTTTCTGTTTGGTCCAAGCAGCTGATGGACATCATCCTCACCATTTCTCTTGCTCTTTTTTCCAGCTATACATCCAGGTCTTTCTGAAGAAGGATGACTCTGTGGGCTATCGAGCGCTGGTGCAAACAGAAGACCACATGCTATTGTTCCTCCAGCAGCCAGGTAATCGGCACAAACAACTAACCTGGTCCGTTTTGTCACTGTATGACAAGAAGATATCTCCAGTGTTATGGAATCCAATCCCAAACTACCATATCTTATCACTGCTTTTTTTTTTTTTTTTTGTTGTTGTTTGGAAAGTGGCAAAATTAGTGCAACTTGCATGGTTGCAATATGCAGGTAACTGAGCTAGGGAGGTGGTCCTGAGCTAAATCCCTGGAAGGAGACCGGAAAGTTGTATATCTTTCACTCTCACAAGACAGCTCATCTGAGAAACCGATGTTTCTGCGGTGTTGTTTGTGCAGATGGAGCCTTTGAGTTTCCTGGATTGCTATAGATTTCAGAACTCCTATTGTAGAATGAGAGCCCTAAGCCTTCTTGTAGATCTTCCTTGAAGTTTCTTCAAAAAAGTTTCTTAAGGCCACAATGTTAATTTGCAGAAAAGACTGAAAGTCCATCTCGGTAATTTGAATCCCCAAGGGCTTAATAAGCATTCTGGAGTTCATACTTTGTACCTATTATTTTAAATGGACTTAATGGCTTCAACCCTTTCAAAACGTTTATTTGTTCCTCTTGTTCTTTGAAGTGACTCTGGTTGAATAAAGTATTTTTCATGGTCTTTGTGAAGGACCAACGCTTATTATATTAAACATGTGAACAGTATTTTTCATTGCATTAAGAAACCGTGATTTGCATGTTAAGGCCCACTGGAAGATCTTTCTACAGTGAGCAAAGATTTTTGTCTCTGAAAATCTGTTCCCAGAGATTAAATTCAAAAGAGCTTCAGTTGCTTTAGCTAGTCTTGCTAATGGGCATAACAGAGATGTGCAATATACTTGTGCTTTTTTTGATTTACCAATATTCTACTCATATTTCTTTTCAGGAAAGGTTGTGTGGAGCAGAGAGGAGTCACTAGCAGAAGTGGTAAGCTTGGAGATGGTGGATCTACCTCTGACAGGTGCACAGGCTGAGCTGGAGGGGGAATTTGGAAAGAAAGCGGGTAAGGCATAAACTTCATGGAATTCTCTATAAGCATGTGAGTTTCTATTTGTTTTTTTTTTTTCCTGAAGAAATGTGTAGTTTTCCTCTAAGCCATGAGTTCTTTGGATTCAAATTTCCACTATTGGCAGCATGATCAACAGAATCGGAAATAAACCCGTTTCTGTCCCAACTTTTAAAGCTCAACGTCAAAGGCAGATCACGTAAACATATTACGTTCCAGACTATGAATGCAAAAGAGATGGGAGAGATTTTATCCATCTTTCTTAAACGTTTCCCTTTGATGCTCTGATTACCTTTTCTGGAAGACTCATTTCAATAGCTTTTGTTTCTGCTTTGTTTTGTTTTTCTTGCTGTCCTGGATGCAGCCATTCAAGGTAACCTCAGACTATGCAGTGTTTCCTAATCTTTCTGACAAGTTTTTTCTAGTGGGTCTTTATCTTTTTTTTCTGCTTGTTTTCCTCAGTGGTGAAATATAGTTGAAGTCTGCTGTTTTTAGCTCCTTGACAGGAGCAATATAAACCCTCCTTGGGTAGAATTAAGGTGTTTTTTTTTTTTTTTTCCTACAAGTGGTTCTGTTACTCTAAGTAATGCGCGCGAACAGAGCTTGAGACCCTGTGAAGGTGGGTTAGCTTTGGGTGAGCGCTTGCTGAGTGTACCAATGAGAAAGAAGGAATAGAAAGGAAGAGATTATATCCTCTGCAAGAGGGTTTGCTCTCGGTTGCTGAGAGTGTCTTTTGGAATGAGTAAGACCAGTGTGAAGTGGGAAAAGGATGGTAAATGCCAAAAAGTCTCTAAGAGTCACGATAACTGTTAAGTCGCTCTCCTGCAGAGGAAGGCAGAGGCTAAGAGCTGTCATAAATTCAGGCATGGCCACGTTACTTTTGTTGGCCGAAACTGTAATTGAACTATGGAGTGGGATGTGAAGTTTTTCCCCTTCGGTTATGTCATATTTTTTCCCTTCAGTTATCATTGTTGGTCCTTTTGCAGATGGTTTGCTAGGGATGTTCCTGAAGCGGCTCTCCTCCCAACTTATCCTGCTGCAAGCCTGGACTGCCCATCTTTGGAAGATGTTTTATGATGCCAGGAAACCCCGGAGCCAGATTAGGAATGAGATTAATATTGATAACTTGGCTAGAGATGAATTCAACCTCCAGAAAATGATGGTGATGGTCACTGCTTCGGGAAAGGTGAGGAAGGCAGGGTAGGAATCTGTTTCTAGGCTGTAGCAAAGGGTCTCACCACAGAATTTTCTCTGCCTCTTTTCCCGGGCTCTGGGAAGAATGGCTTGAAAAGATGCACAGAGTGTTTTGTGGTGGCATTGGAGAGGGACTAAGACTCTTCTTTCTTTGGCATGCCCCAAAGCAAGCTGCAGTGCTTAAATTGCAGCGCTTCCATGTGAAAGATATGTTGTTCTAGACTTTGGCTTTAATCTGGTCTCTCTGTCGCTCAGCTTTTTGGTATTGAAAGCAGTTCTGGCACCATCCTGTGGAAGCAGTACCTCAAGAATGTGAGACCGGGTTCCTCCTTTAAGCTGATGGTCCAGAGAACAACAGCCCATTTCCCCCACCCTCCGCAATGTACGTTGCTCATTAAGGACAAGGTGAGTTCTTTTCCTCTCTCCCTCCGTTGAATCTGCTTAGCTTGGAAAACTGTGCATTTAGAAAGCATCTTTTTGCGTGATCGCATGGTTATCGCTGATGTACGCAGGGAGAGGAGGGGAATGACAGTTGAAGGGAAGCAGAGACACAGTCCGAATGCTGCCAGGATGCTCATTTTGAACTCTTTTATTTAAATAAAAGGTATAGTTTAATTCATTTTTTTTCCCTGGCTTTGTGAAATAAGTCATATGTTGTCTACGTTAGCTAGGCGGCAGTGGCTTTCCTCTAGCTAGGCGCAGCACGTTTTGTAGGCCACAGACAAGTGAGGGAGGAGAAAACCGTAATTTGCCTTGAGACTGCTTCAGCAGGCAGCCGATAGGATTTGGTTAGGACAATGTATGCTCTCTCAACAGAGGAATTGCTTCAGTATGTTCAAACGGAACGTGTTTTCAGGGTGGAGTAGTTGAGCCCAGGGTGTGAATAGCCCACACCAGTAGGTAACAGGTGGAAGGAGCTCTTTTGTTGGCTTTAAAAAAAGTTGTGCATCTTGTTTGTTTGTTAGGAAACCAAAATGAGTTTTCTCTATGTCTTTAACCCCATCTTTGGGGTTGTGCATCTTGTTTGTTTGTTAGGAAACCAAAATGAGTTTTCTCTATGTCTTTAACCCCATCTTGGGGGTTGTGCATCTTGTTTGTTTTTTAGGAAACCAAAATGAGTTTTCTCTATGTCTTTAACCCCATCTTTGGGAAGCGGAGCCAAGTAGCTCCCCCTGTTCTGAAGCGTCCGATCCTTCAGACTTTGCTTCTGCCTATTATGGATCAAGACTATGCCAAAGTGCTGCTCCTGATTGATGATGACTACAAGGTAAATTGCTTTGCCCCCAGGCAGCATTCTTCATGTTCAGGTTAATTATCCTCCCCTTTTTGGAGCAAGGTTAAAAAATGTCGTTGAGTTACATTTCACAAAAAAAAGATGAGGTTATTTTGGTGAAACTTCATTTGATGTACCTTCGTGTTTAAAATATTTTCCGGTGTTTTTGTTTGTCAGTTGATTTTTAACCAGCTTTCCAATTCTTCTTCTCTTTTCCAGGTTACGGCTTTCCCAGCGACTAAGAATGTTCTTCATCAGTTAGAAGAAATAGCCCACTCTATTTTTTTTTATCTAGTGGATGCTGATCAGGGAAAACTCTCTGGGTTGAGGCTGAAAAAGGTATGGAGGAAACATTACAGTATAAGTGATATCATTTTCCTGTGTGTTCTGTAGGAAAATGGTAGATCCTTGCACTTGTTTTATGGAGTTTTGCTTGGGGCGTAAACAGTTCACCTGGCTTTTGACTTCTACTAGGCCTCAAAACCTTCCTAAAACTCTTTCACAATCCAAAAAAGCAGAGGAAGCTCCCTGCGTCTTAGTAGTGGAGGCTGTGTCTTTGGAGGATCAGATAAAACCTTCTCCTGTGTCGTGTGTTTCTTGCAGGACCTGACAACAGAGGAGAGTTGGGAGGTGATCATTCCCACGGAAGTGCAGAGGATAGTGACTGTGAAAGGGAAGAGATCCAGTGAGCATGTGCACTCCCAGGGCCGTGTGATGGGTGATCGCAGTGTTCTCTACAAGGTGCTGTAGGAACTTTTTTGGTGACTCATTAGATCACTGGAAGATCTCTATTCTCTGTCTAGGCACTGTTGGCATTACATCTTTGCCCTATAATGCCATTTTTTTCTATACAGGTATCAGTGTCCCTAACCTGAGAAAACCTGAGAATCTTCTGCAGAAGATGCTAATTTTGGCAGACTTTTTTCTTTTTTAAATGACATGTTTTCATGCAGCAATTAAAAGCCTGTCAAGCATCTGAGGATGGGGGGGACTGCTGCTTAGTTTCTCCAAATGGTCTGTGCTGATAAGATATTTTGTTCATTACATCTCTGGTACCAGATGAAATGCAGATAGCCATGGTGCCTCTGGCACTAAAGTGGGGATCTCAGCTGCTTTTCCTTTTTTGCTGCTACAGTCCTTGAATCCAAACCTGCTTGCTGTGGTGACGGAGAGCACTGATACGCATCATGAGCGCACTTTCATTGGAATACATCTGATCGATGGAGTCACAGGCAGGATCATCCACTCGTCGGTACAGAAGAAAGCAAAGGGACCTGTGCACATTGTCCATTCGGAGAACTGGGTGGTGGTAAGAACTCATATCTCCTTGTCCTTTACTTTTAGGAGGTAGGGCAGTTGCTGAACCTGTGGGCAGAATACTTTCTGACCTTTCTTTATGATTTGCTGCTACCTCTGTATTGTTGACTTGGCTTGCTCTGTATTCCTGAACGACATCTTCCTCTCTCAATTCAGTACCAGTACTGGAATACTAAGGCACGTCGGAACGAGTTCACGGTGCTGGAGCTGTATGAGGGGACGGAACAATACAACGCCACAGCCTTCAGCTCCCTTGACCGCCCACTTTTACCTCAGGTCCTCCAGCAATCTTACATCTTCCCTTCTGCTATCAGTGCCATGGAGGCCACCATCACTGAACGAGGCATCACCAGCCGTCACTTGCTCAGTAAGTGCACGCTGCTCGGCTCTGAAAGTATTCAGAGATCGCTGCTACCTGCATGAGCCAGGCATCGCGCTCAAAACTGAGCAGTAGGTGGTTTTTTGTCAAAGATCCTGCCTGCCTTTGGGCTGCCCTGGACTCTTGGCAAGTGCAAGGACATGCACCAGGAGGGCATCTATATTAGCTGTTAGAAAATGCTGTCAGAAACGACCATTTTTAAGATGCTCCTCTTTTTAATGTACAGTTGGGCTTCCCTCTGGGGCCATCCTCTCCCTTCCGAAGGCTCTGCTGGATCCTCGCCGCCCTGAAATCCCTACAGAACAAAGCAGGTAAGGAAAGCGCAATAACCGCTGTTCGTGGACACCTTTGAGAGCGATGGGTTTGTGTGTAATATGCTGAGGTAGAACAACTTTTCACGGCTAGATTCAGGGCAATCCTTGCATGAGATTTAGTGAAGCTGCTTGGTTGCCCATTTATGATGGCAGAAAACGTTTGTCTGTAATACAGCAGGTCCTGTCACTAGGAAGAAATGCCTGTTGTCTGCAGTTTAAGAAATAACTGAAGTTTCTAGAATGACGCTTGATTAGTTTTAAAGCTTGAGAACCCTAAAAGGAGGCTGCTGCAGCATAGTGTGACCTAGCTGGCCTGTGTTTTCTACTTGTAGCAAAAATAAATCTGACCTGGAGAAAGCTGCTAAACTTGTTGGTTTAGGTCAGTGGCTTAGGAATCACAAGTCTGGTCATTCTAGGAAACAAAATGTAGGTGAAGATGTCCTTTGCATGCTGTGTTTGGATGGTTTTTGACTTCTCTTTTCATGCCTTTCAGAGAAGAGAATTTGATTCCGTATTCTCCTGACGTGCAGATCCACGCTGAGAGGTTTATCAACTACAATCAAACCATATCGCGAATGAGAGGGATTTATACAGCCCCCTCTGGCCTAGAGTCCACCTGTTTGGTGAGTACTCTTGGCAGAGCTGTGGAGTTGGTGGGTAGAGAAGCATGATGATATAACCTGTGGCAGGGAGTCTGTAGCTTCTGATCATGTGGCTGCTCGCTGCTTAATCACTTCTTGTTTTGATCAGAGCTGTAGATGTGAAAGTCCATCACTTCTGATGCACCTGGCTTTCTGCTTGAAGCCGCATTCCCAACATGCGATCTCCTCTCTTTAGGTTGTTGCATACGGCCTGGACATCTATCAGACCCGAGTGTACCCATCGAAGCAGTTTGATGTCCTGAAAGACGACTATGACTACGTGCTGATAAGCAGTGTCCTCTTTGGCCTGGTTTTCGCCACTATGATTACAAAGAGACTTGCTCAGGTGAAGCTACTGAACCGTGCCTGGCGGTAGGCCCGTGGGTGAAGGGAACGCTGAGGGCATCGACGAGGCTGGAGAAGAAGGTATCTGAGATTCGGACTGGCTGATGATCTGCGACCCAGTGTCGCCGCTGGGTCCAATTAGAAGCTCCTGTTTGCCTGGCTGTGACAGAGGCAAGCGTCTATTTTGTGTTTCTGCTGGAAGATGTTTGAAAGGAGGAGCTGCCAGTACGCTGCCTGTACACCTCCCTGTGAGAAGAAATGGAAAAGAGATAGTAAAGCGACATCCGACTGTTATGACTAAAAAACCTTCAAAACCTTCCCCCCCCAAAAAGTCTGAAAAAAGTCCTAATGTCCTAAAATCTGGTGATCATGTTATCTTCCCAAAGCAACATAACCCAATTTTAGTGAAGAGCTGAACAACGAACTGAGGATGAGTGTCCCGCTGATGCTAACCTCTTCTTCAACCCCCACTATTACTAAAGTCTTGGTAAGAGGAGGAGTCGCACACTGATGGCTACTGTGCTTTAAATGCTGGACTTGGTAAATGTGTGAGCTACTGTATGCAAGACAGAGAACTGACTCAGCATCTCCTCTCCCTCTGATAAGAGGGACATTAGAAGTTGTATGAATGTTGGTGGGAAATTCAAGTATGTTGCAAGAGCATGGGGGGAATCTGATTGTCATGTTTCTCATGCTTTTTATTTATTGTGGCTACACCACTGGTTCCCTCCTATTTTGGAAATTTTCCTGTGTCTGGTGTACACCATACAGCTCATTTGTTTGGATGTTTCTGGCGTCGTTCTTTAACGGAAAGAAAATAAGAGTCGTGTCCATAAAGGCGAGATGTGAATTTCAGATGGCGTTTGAAAAATGTATTCTGCCTTACTGTACAGCTCCTTGGTCACTCCAAGCCAGGGTGAACGTCCTGTGCTTTAGGAGTAAAGACCCTCTCCATTTTCCCTCTGTGGATCATGGATGTTCCCTTTTATCGTCCGTTTTTAAGGTCAGGCTCTGATTTGAAGTTGTCCTAATCACGTTTTGCAGCCAATTGTACCTCATCGCGACGCTTCTCCTAACCATCACGGCTGTACTTAACCAGTGGGTACTTGGTGCGCGGAGCAGCAGCGTTTTGTCCCTTGGAGAGGGAGTTCATTAAGTGGATTTGCATCTTTTGGGGTGTTTTCTGAAGGCGGCGGGGGGG